TGTGTGTGTGTGTGTGTGTAAACAGGAATTCTACTTAGCCATAAACAAGGATGAAATAATGCCATTTGCAGCAACATAGATGGACCTAGAGATTATCATACTAAGTGAAGTCAGAGAAAGACAAATATCATATGGTACCACTTATCTGTGGAATCTAAAAAATGATACAAATGAACTTATTTATAAAATAGAAACAGACTCACAGACGTAGAAAACTTATGATTACCAAAAGGCAAGGGGGGAGGGATAATTTAGGAGTTTGGCATTAGCAGGTACAAACTACTACATATAAAAGAGATAAACAAGGTCCTACTGTATAGCACAGGGAACTATATTCAATATCTTATAACCTATAATGAAAAAATTAAAAAACAATACATAAATGTATAACTGAATCACTATGCTGCATATCAGAAACTAACACAACACTGTAAATCAACTATTCTTCAATTTAAAAGAATTTAATTAAAATTTTTAAAATTAAATTTTAAAAGGAAAATAAAAGACAAACTATTACAACTGGGAAATGAGTCTAAGAGCGTGGGGAATTTATTTTCCACTTTATTCTTTTTGGTCACATTTGAGATGTTTTAAGTTTTTACCACAAATACATGTACCTTTAGACTAAACAGAAACAAACACATTTTTTAAGGCATGTACGTATTCATAAATACACTTTGACCCAGCAATTCCTCTTCCAGGAATGATATACACACTCATGCCAACTGAGCTGCATATGTGCAAAAAAGAGATATGTTGTGAAGCTCTTCATAAATCATTGTACATAACAGCAAACAATCGAAAACAAAGTGTTTAGTAGGGGCCTTATAATATGGAATACTATGCAGCTATAAAAAAGCATAAGGCTATGTTCTGATAGGAATCTCTAAAATACAGTATTATGTGAAAAAAGAAAAGTACACAATAGTATATATGGTATGTTAGCATTTGTGTGAAAAGAAAAAAGAATATATAAATAATGATCTGCACCTGCAAACTCTAGAAGAATATACAAAATACTGATTTAAAAAGTGATTATGGGGAGAATGGGTGGCTAGGAGACAGGGATGATTTTGCACTATATATGCTTTTATATGTGAGTAGAAATAATTTTATATCCTTTCAAAATAACCAAAAATAGGGCAATGTAAAGTACATTTTAAAATAATTAACTAACATTATTAAATAAAACTAGTGTTGACACTCAAAACAATAAAAGCAAGAAAAAGATAAATTTTTTCCCTATAGAGAAACTGGATTTAACCCTGTTAAGTGCTACAAGTTAAAACAATCTGGAAAATTATTATCTGGGTCAACTCATTGCTCGAAGGTTTCAGGCTAAGTGTATTGGACTTTGATACAGTTTTATTCTAGCTCATAAATTACAACACAGAAAAATTTTCTGGCAGTAATAAGCTGTTTCCCGAAGACATCCCATTAATGCAGCCAAGACTTGAATAAAATTCTGTGCATCTACAGAATAGATGTTGGAATAAGACAAAAAAATACAACTCCTATTCAAAACTACGATTCAGCTATTCCTGACATACTAATTATCACACTTTAAAGAAGACAGAACTGAAGAAGGTAGAGAAAAGACCAAGTGAAATATACAAAGTTCTGGAGAGACTACCATATCAAGTCCAGACTCTAAGTCCCTTGAGGATATGACCAAGTTACAATCCATGTCACATTTACTGCAGCACTCAGTAGAAAGGCTGGCAGGTAGCATGTACTCATACATTTATGGATCAATCTGTAGAATGAAGTTAGCATGAGAAAGGGAAGATGAAAGCCTATTTATTACAGGTAAGAAGGTTAAGCTAAATATGAATAGCAGGTTATTTACTAAATCTAAAAAAAACAAGAAATAAATAGTTAAAAGAATTAAGTCAAATGTAAGACAGAAAACATGGAATTTCTTGCCTTAAGTTATAACTGCTGATGGCAAAAGACACATATATAAATAAAGAATAATTAAAACATTTAAAACTAAAATCTCATGTACTAGTGGTAGATTCCTTTTACTCACAAAGAGAACTTTAATTCTCTCTAAAATTAGTGTTTAAAAAATATTAATCCTTCTCAAACTTTTCTACAAAAAATAAAAAGAGAAATTTAACCACGTGTTAAGGTTGAAGCTAGCTAGCAAATAGGTTTCCATAGTTTTGAAGGTGCCTTAATCAAATTTTTAATATGAAATTATAAAACAGTACAGTTTATAAAGATTCACAGCTAGGGTAAGTATAGCAAGTGGTAGAGCACATGCTTAGCATGCATGAGGTCCTGGGTTCAATCCCCAGTATCTTAACAACAACAAAAAAGATTCACAGCTATACAATTTAATGACACAGAGATGTGATTGCTTACAAAAGTCTAAAACCAATAATTAAAAATTCTTTCAAAATCTTATATAATTAGGTTAACCATACTTTCCACTTTTCCCAGACAGTTCCAGTTTATGCCTGTTATCCTCAAATAATTATTAAAAGTGCCCCATTTCACTCTCAAAAGTGTCCTGGTTTAGGTAAGTTACACTGTTACCCTAGTGGGTCTGCCAAGACAAAATACTGGAAGCCCAGTTAAATTTGCATTTCAGATAAACAACAAATAATTTTTCATTTATACTTATGTATGTCCCATGCAATATTTCAGACATGCTGGCATCCTGTGTGCATGCACGTGTGTGTGTTTGAGAGAGAGAGAGAGAGAAGAGAGTGTGTGTCTGAAATCTGGCAACCCCCACATCCCAGTGATAATTTTCCTAAACA